TTTTTTTTTTTTATATAACAATACAAATTATAGTTTTCTCACGTGTGAACATCGACTAAACGAATATTGCGAGCCGTCGGTCCCTGGGGACCGACGCCGGCCGAACGGGGCGGCCGGGTGTCGGTCCGCGTGGACCGACGCTGTCTCGAACGTGTTGAGCTGGTGCATCGTCGAAATAAAGAGTGGGGATGAACCAACCCCCACGTTTTGTGTTTCAACAACCGCGTTACGATAGAGTGGGGATAGTCCCAAAATTAGTGGAAATATCCCTGGTCAGTTACGAGGTCACTACCGTATGTCGTTGGACGTATCGTTGATTTACTTACGAGATGAATTTGCACTCTGCGCGTAGCTCTACTTGCTGGCGAGGAAGAGAAGAAACCTGCGGGCGACGACGATCCGCTTCGAAGAACCAAGCGCCCGTTCGGCGGTCTCATTAACGACATCAAGAGACGATATCCCTTTTACCTGTCCGACTTCACCGACGGTTTGAGCTCGTCGTGCCTCGCGGCGGCCATCTTCATGTACTTCGCGGCGCTGTGCACGGCCATCACGTTCGGCGGGTTGATGAGCGACAAGACGCACAACGTCATCGGCATCTCCGAGACACTGGTCTCTGGCTCTTGGACGGGGGTGGTGATGGCGTTGTTCTCCACTCAGCCGCTGGTCATCATCGGCACGACCGGCCCGCTCTTGCTGTTCGACGAAAGCTTGTACAACTTTTGCCTGGCCAACGAGCTGGAGTTCCTCACCGTGAGAGTCTACGTAGGAGCGTGGATGGGGATCATAGCTCTGGCAATCGCCTGCGTGGAAGGGTCCGTGCTGGTCAGGCTCTTCACCCGCTTCACCGAGGAGATCTTCACCGGTCTGATTTCTATCCTGTACATCGTCGAGACGTTCGTCAAACTGTACAACTACTTCGCGAAGAATCCGTTGCTCGACGAGTACAGCTTCATCCCCGAGACGAACGGCACCAAGTTGCACCAAGAGCCGTTGAACGTGACGGAGATGAAGGTCGTTGCCCCGGAGACCGGCGAAACGGTTGCACTCCTGTTGAACAAACCTCAGACCTTCATACCGGCGTACAACGTAGTCGGGTTGTTGATCAACCAACCAAACACCGCCTTGATGTGCACTATCCTGTGCCTGGGCACGTTCCTCGGCGCTTACTACCTGCGCATCTTCCGCAACAGCCACTACCTCGGACGAAGCGCCAGAAGGGCGTTCGGTGACTTCGGCGTGCCGATCAGCATCATCGTGTTCGTGCTGATCGATTACCTGGCCAAAGTGAGGACGGAGAAGCTGCTGGTCCCGGAAGGTTTGTCACCGACGGTGCCCGGTAGGAACTGGATCGTGTCACCCGCTGGCATACACAAACCTATCCCCCTGTGGATGGCCATGGCTTGCATCGTGCCGGCGTTGCTCGTCTACATTCTCGTTTTCATGGAAACGCAGATCTCCGAGTGAGTACCATTTTCTTTTCTTTATTCCACCTCTCGCCAGGCGAGCTCTGATTTATACCGTAAGTCGCCCTTTCTTTTTGTTCATTAA